AGATGTGTATAAGAGTTAGCACCTGCGTGAGAACGCCCAATTGGTTAGCGCTAACCGTTAGCAGTATCCGGATACTGCCAACGGTTAGCAAGCGCTATCGGTAAATCTCTGTCTCTACAGTATCATATTTTGTGTGACAAAAAAGTGTGATATGCCCATATATGGTCATGATGACATCACATCATGACCATATATAGGCATAGCATTACTATATATGGTCATGTTACATTTTTTTGTAAAAGAAAATTTGATAGTGTGGATAGAGCTTTAGCAAGTTGACCGCGTTTTTATCATCAACCAATCACACGTACGCGTTTACAATTTCCAGTTCTTATTGACCAGTGATTCGATCATCATATTTTTTGTATCCGGATCGGGATTTTCTCGTATGGACGCACGGCAGCTAACGGTTAGCAGGATCCGGATCCTGCTAAGCGTTAGCAACCGTGTGAGAACATAGCCAATGAGTGAACTACTATCAGCGTTGTGAACTATATTGGAGATACTGCAGTAAAATAATATAAGGTGGAAAAATGAACAAATTTGCTGACAATGGAACCGATTGTGAAAGGCCTAGGCGTTAAACGTTAAATTGGTTTATATTGGCTCATTGTATACGTGATCCTGAAATCCAATATATCTAAGTAGGCCTACTGCAGTCAGTGTAGTCTTTCGCCTTTGTTTGAAGGGTTGTCGCAAGCAGTGACTGGTAGCGCGCGATCTTTACTACAGGAATGTTGCCATTCCTGTAGGTATCTTTGATCATTAGAGTAAGAATGCTTTGATTTTTTGTTTAAATCACTGCTATGTCACCTACTAGAGGTAATGTTTTGATTGGTTAAACACTTTTGGTTCTAGTGCATATAAACTTGCTAATATGGATAATTTTTTATTCCTGATGATGACATAATTAATATCGAAATATTGAATCCCAACACGGTGGCGTGTATTTCAATACTTGGAGTATGTATCATACTTTCTTATCTGAGATTAATCAGTGGACCTTTCGGTTAATGTTGCCATATTATAAAGAAAAACCGGTGTTTCATGTAAGCATGTTCCTGGGGAGCCCCATGTTTAAGCAAAAAGAATTTCATGCGAGTCAGGTAACACTGCAGGTGAAGTATTTGTAGAATTTAATTTGTGAATTTCATAATTTTGATGGTTTTTTATGCAAGTGGTCCGTTTTACCAACAGGGACGGTCCACTCGAAAAGGGGATACGAGCCCCAACGAATACGGAGTGCTTACCTGAATATAGAAACGTATCAGTATGCCCTCCAACGACGACATCTACACCATCGACTTCCCTAGCAATCTTTTGATCAATACTTATTCCTGAGTGGCCTACAGCGATGATTTTATTCACCTGCATAGCCTGCAATATATCTACTTCTTTTTGAATTGCCTCCACTTCGTCGCCGAATCTCACTTCCCCTGAATAAATTAAAAAATGATATTGTGTAAGGTACACTTCTTAACCATAAGAGAGTATCACTTGGACTTGTAGCTCAGGTGAAAGAGCAAACCGAAGGTCATGGGTTCAAATTCGGATACCTTTAAAAAAGATGTGTATTAACATTTTAATCCTAGTTGATTTGTTTGTCTATATTTTTATTATTAATATTATTTAATAATATTGCATATTACACATCATCATCATCATTCATTATGACACCCATTCATCAGTTCCTGATGCTGGGAGATAGCATACAGTTTCACAGGAGGACACTTAGTTTCAAGGTGTAAACTTTTTTGGTGACTAATAAGTCCACTCTTTGATTGGCAAATGCGCACAGATGGCACTTGAACGATTGAATCTGACTATGAGATATTGCAGGGTACGTGTTGATATTACAAAATAACATAAGAAAATAATGTGCCCTAATCAGAAAATCCAAGAGAGAATATACCACTTAGCACATGGCATACGTATTAGAGAGTCTCTGGAGGATATTGAGAACAAAATATGGTCAAGTCATTATTATTTCATCGTTCACAGCCTATTGGACATTTCATAAGTTTCTGATAAAGTATGATGGACCAGTAGCACAATCATCGACCTACTGCAGTGAAGTAAATATAAAAACATATTTATGAAGTATGACGACCTGACGTGATTCAAAAACATCAACCAAAAACGTGCGTGTCGATATTTCAATTGCTTTAGATATGCTTTCAAAAAAGTATGCTTTAGTGCATCGTACCGTGGTACAGTGGCAGATTTAGAGCGTACGGGGCGTACTCCCCTATATTTTTGGGGGAAAAAACAAAAACCGTAAAGCTTATTCGAAAATTATCATGCTAAAGAGTATAAATCATCAAATACTAGCTCAAATTAATAAAATTTGAGCTAGATTTGATAAATAATAAATACATGTCCCGACACGATGGCGTGCATTTCGATACTTGGAGTATGTAAGATTAATCAGTGGACCTTTCGGTAAATACATGTATTGTTTGTAAACGTAATAGATAAATTGCAATGAATACAATCAATAATTATGGCCTCTAATTTATTTATTTATTTATATCATATGTTGAGAGGGTAGCTAACAGCAATGCTGACTTAACTTGGAAGAGGCCCTCTTTTTAAAAACAATTCAAAATACAGATATAAAGTCCAAACTAGAATACTAATATTATTGTGGGTCCTTTTAAAATATAAGTAGAAATTATATTTTTAGATCTAAGGCCTATTGAACGGGCCCCCAATAGCCCCGGACCCCAGTGCTCAAATTGGCTGCATGCACTGCCCATCCTACGCCACTGTTAAGAATATACAAATACTTACGTGCGCTGGAAATAAGATGAGTTCCTGAGAATGTATATCCTATGATGCCAATGTTTTCTCCACCAACCTTTAAAATCGTAGATTTATTTGTCAACCCAGTCAACACTGGTTCAGCACTTGCATCCATGTTTGAACTCAGTACAGCGAAGTTAACTTCCTTTAAAAATGGTGCTAAACCGTCAGGATTGTTGTCGAACTCGTGGTTACCAAGGGCCTATAAGGCGGAAAAGCATTACTGTATTAGGGAGTTTTCAAAACCTTACGAAAACGATAACAAATACGAATACGTCATATTCATCATCGTCATTTGTGCCTAAAACATTCTTTAAAGGACCTATACGAGCTTATTACGTGTTAGCTACGAGTGAGGTACGACTTTATGGAGTTGGTTACGAGTTATGTACGAATTATGCCGAGCAGAGCACCGAGTTAACTACGAGATTATTAAGAGTGTAACAAGTTTGTACCGAATTAGATACGAGCTAGGTACGAGCAAACTCGGTGCGCTCGTACTTACTCGTACTCGTTTT